AAAATTGGCTCAGGGTCAAATATATAAGTATGTGTTTGTGTGATGACTCAAATCCTCTGAAAGCTTTTATTTGGACGTCATCAGTGAGTGCCTCTTTGATGATCTGCCTGAGGCATCGGGTCATGAGTGAGGCGAAGGGGAGCTCATGGATCAGCACCCTCCTGGAGGACACTCTGATAAATGGCACATGTTAAATCGGCTGTTAGTGTCATGGGAGTGAACTTAGACCTACTTAATGAGACCAAATGTTCCCGATCTGTATGTGCGATTCAGTGATACAGTCTGCTTGGTGCAAACATGAGGAAGCGCTAATCTAACAGATTGAGATTTAATATATGGAGGATGAAAGCTGCCCAAAAATACAGTTCATAACCTGCTTAACCTGCCTAACTACAATTAATATTCCATTAAATTGACCAAAAAAACAATGTAAAAAAAGATGTGGGCATTTATGTTTTGATATGAAGTTAATGATTAGCATTATTGACAATCATTTCTCAATGAAGTGAGGCATCATACTTAGTAGTTACTCACACAAAAGTAATGTTTATATAATGCTTCAATACTGAGTAACTAGTATGATGCCTCACTTCATTCTCGTAACCAAAAGCTACTCTATAGAATTGGATGAGAAGTTTGTCACTATCTACCCATTAACTAATGGTTAACTAGTTAATTCCCCATTAACTATGCAACAATTTGTGTGGTTTATCCAGCATTCATTATCTGTGAGATAATGATGAGCTACTCTAGAACATGTGATGAAATAGCACGCACTATCTACCCATTTCTTAGTTGTTACTTAGTGGTTATCTAGTGGTTACCTAATGGTTATCTAGTGGTTACTTAGTGGTTACCTTGTGGTTACCTAGTGGTTACCCAGTGGTTACTTAGTGGTTAACTAGTGGTTACTTAGTAGTTACCTAATGGTTAACTAGTGGTTACCTAGTGGTTACCTAGTGGTTACTTAGTGGTTACCTAGTGGTTACCTAGTGGTTACCTAGTGGTTACTTAGTGGTTACCTAGTGGTTACTTAGTGGTTACCTAGTGGTTACCTAGTGGTTACTTAGTGGTTACCTAGTGGTTACCTAGTGGTTACTTAGTGGTTACCTAGTGGTTACTTAGTGGTTACCTAGTGGTTACCTAGTGGTTAATTAATGGTTACTTAATAGTTACCTTGTGGTTACTGAGTAGCTAATTTCCCATTCGTTTTCCACTAACTATCCAAGATATGTGTACCTTATGGTAAAGTGTTACCAAAAATAATAATGTAAAGTAAAAAATAAGAGAGCTAGTTAAAAGGTAATTAAAGAGCGAGAAGAAACTCAAACAGAATCATGTAAATGTACAGATCAATTTGTTTTGTTATTTATCCCTACATCTGATTTCAAGTTTCTTTTTTGGACACATTTTGTTTAATTTGTACAATTTTGTAATTTTGTTTATCAATTTGATTATTAAGGTTTTTATTAACTTTTTTCTTTTGGCCGTTTTAGTCCTCCATACAATTGTATCAGATAATGAAGTGATGAGAACCAGAGCCAAAACAGGTTCGTCTGTATTTTCTTCTTCTTCATCATCATCATCATCATCATCATCATCATCCTCAGGTCACACTGTGTCACTCTCTGTGCAGCTCGATGCAGCTCGTGTCTCCTTGTCTCTCTCTGTGTGTGTGTTGACGCTGCAGTGCAAACAGTTTGTGTTTAATTTAACAGATTATTGTTTGCAGCAGAGAAGAGATTTATTGATCTGTGTGGGTCTCAGACATTTTCAACCAGACTTACATCTGAACACATGGTTACACAACAGATAAAATGCTTCTCATAGTTTTGGTTCTGTGATGGAGTTACTTTTCACTTTCTGACACTCAGTGAAGACCCACCCTGCAGTAAACAAGCACAATGTTCTGAAGCTTCAGTTATCTGTGCTGTGATGATTTACAGATTTAAATTTATTCGACTGAAGATTAACTTCAGTTGAACAGATCTTTGCATAGCAAAATTCTATTTCACTATTAATCTAGCAGCTGTTTTTTTACTGACTTATGGATATTTAAGTCCTCCAGTTTTTATGTTGATATATGTTAAAAATGAAGTCCTACTAAGGCCTTTACAATTTTGTTTATTTTATATCCAATTTATTATTTCATTATTCATTTCATTTTGGTTCCTTTAGTCCTCCATATTATTGTATCATAAAATTAAGTGATGAGTATCTGAGCTAAAACAGGTTCTGCAGAACTGAGCATGTTAGCATGCTAATACTAGCATTTACACACAGAGCTGTTAGCATAGCTTCTGCCTTTCTAACTTATCTTACGTCCACCCACCCCAAAAAACAACAACAACAGACATTCACTGTTTTATCGGCTCCTTTTAATGCAATTTGGAAAACTTTTCACTTTAATTCATGAGTTTTACCCTCATATTAAACTAGTGTATGTATGAGCATGTTCAAACTATATCAGATTTTAAATTAGTTTGTTTTGTTATTCTGCTCGAAGTCTCTTGTGTCAGGAGTTAATGTGACTCAAAATCCTGAGCTGGGCGGAGGCGTTCAATGACCTACTAAAATCTCTGACTGTGATGAACTATTTCAGTCTTTGGCACATGAATAAGGAGTGATCTCATCGTCATGATCAGAGCTGCTTTAGTCATTCACTGTATCAGAGGAAGGTAAAGGTGTTAGCAAATGTAAAGTTAGCAGAGAACAGCTGATCAGGATGGATTCAAAACATTCGCTGAGGTTTGACTGAAGTCATGAAATATTCGAGCTGACAGTTCACCTGAAGAATCTGACTTTAATCTCTGCTGCAGAGACGTTACAAAGCACACTGTTTTCCCACAGAAGGTATTTTGTTTCAAGGCAAACATATGAATCAGAGCATGTCCTCACCTCCGCAATGCTTTAGCTGACTCACAAGTCCGATCGTAATTCAGATCCACATGAATCCTGATGGAATCACAGAGTCAGCGGAAGTACTACTTGATGCCATTAAAGGAAAATAAGTGAAATTAACAATATCAAAATCACGCTTATTCTGTTTTGCAGCATTATGAATGGATTCATATTGTTGATTAATAACAGTGTCTTATTCTTTGAACAGAAAAGAAGGAATCACTTATTCTCTGAAAGAATTATTTTGAGTCATTTATTTCCAATTCTTTTTTTTAACAAGGTTTTTCTGCAACACTTCATACTAATCACTGACTCAAAATCTGAACCATTGTACATACATGTAGCCTCTATAGAAATATTGCAAAGCTTCAGAATGTATTAACTATGTGATAAAACTCAGATTTTGATCTGATTGAAAAAATATATATTAATTTATGTAGCCACCTGTTACTGGTTGATCTGAACACTATGCATTGCATGACTACTAAAGCAATATGGTATAAATAATCAGCTAAATGAAAGGGTCAAACTCTTTAAGCAAATAAACAGTAAGTGTTGTTGTGGACCTAGTGATTTGATTGGATTAGAGGTGTTACCCGAGTGCTGAGAGCACAATATGATTGGGACTTTACACTATATGTATCGCTCCACAAATAAAGACGAAATGCCAATGGGATGGCGGAGGAGTGATAAAAAACAAATTAAATTATCAAAGATGAGGTGCTCTTTGGATATAAGAAAAGATCATACAGCCAAAATAAACAGGAGAGGTTAGACTCCCACATGAACAGAACAGCAGTTGGTAATTGTTTCAGGTGTGGCTGAACAGATGGGCGTGTAAATCTACAGGTGAATTATATCAAGCAATCAGCATTGTCATGGTAACCAATTAATCAAAGACAGCATTTTTACATCAAAATTATCAAAACTTTGTTAATTAAAAGGCCCTAATGTTGATTTGTAGTTTTCTGACAGACAAAACTAGTAGCACAGCTCACATGGCCCAACATGCAATGCAGCATGACATAATGTCATATCATCATTTGGCAACGACTTCATGATTCAATATGATGCGATACATCGGGATTCTTTGCAAACTCTACATGATTTTCTAAAATTCAAAGTGGAGCCGAGAACAGAGCTTGCTTTGTTATTGATTCTGAACTATTTATTTCAGAATTCTCTTTCCAATCGATTGGAACATAAGGTTTGCACAACAACAACATTTTAAACTTCAGTATGAATCTAGTAAAGCAATATCAATACCTGTTTTGATAACACAGCAACAAAAATAGAAGCCCTGGACACACAAGAGTGTGAATAGTTGTTATTAACCAACCTCTACACAGTGCTCTCGATGTGTTAGTGATTACAGGAATTTAAGGGGAATAAAATGACAATCCATTGAATGTATCGATGTTGGGGGAGGTAAAATCCATACAGTATAAAAAATATATATTGCGATGCTTTACTGTATTATTTTTTTGCACAGCACTATTACCTGTGATAAAAATAGATGAATTACATAGTAAGAAGACAACAAAAACGTATCTTTTTATGTCGTCACTCAGAACAGTTGGGTTTCAATGTAAAGGGAACGTTATAGTTCCGTTTGAGATGTGGAGGAAAACAAAACATTCGTATGTTAGGATTTACGATTAATAATCAGCCAAGGTGTCTATGTAAGCTTGAGCCTGGCGCACAGGGACATCTTATTTAGGCAGGCTTTCATTTTAAGATGCTGTGCTCGCTTTGTGATATTCATTCTAACTGACAGAGCAGAACATTACATTTGCACAAAACACTCAAATTTAAAATATCCCCCTCTCAATGACTCTGAGTTTAAACACGTTGTGTTGAAGAAAAACAGAGCGGGAGTGAGTCCGCTGTTACATGTACAGACAGGCTTTTAATTCCACTTTCAGGGTCATTTGACAAAAGGTCACCTTTAAAATTTGGAGCAGGAGTTTGATTATGTGACGTTTTTTGGGGTGAAGTTTGTTGAACAGAGGAAAGGAGGAAAGACATGTGTTTCCTAAAGAACCAAATGAGTGTTGGTGCTGCATATATGTAAAATATTGTATTGTCCTTTAGAAAACATATAATGAATAGAATCACAGAGCTTTACATCTCCTCGTTTGTGTTTGTCGTTTTTTGCTCAGGATGCCTGTAGAGACACGATCAATCAGAAACAGGTCTGCCGTGGGTCGCTTTCCGTCCGTCACTCTCGACTTTAGGGATGACGCAGACGAAGAGTTAGAAAAAGAAGAGCCAGAAGAAGAAGACAATAGAAAAAAAGAAAACGGGTGTCGACACTGGCTGGGTAAAATCTTCCCGTGCTGCTGTCCAAAAAGGACTGACGATGATGGCACAGGAACCGTGGATACGGTCTCCGGTGAGACGGAGGAAGAGGAAGGGGCGAAGCCTGTGATTGAAGATCAGGAGCTTAACAGTAACTAGCTTTATTACAACTCATTATTTGAACTAATGTAATCCAGCCACATGACAGACTCCACTCATATATTTGTGTTTTTTTTTTTTTTTTTTTTGCAGAACTCTGCCTGGAGGTGCAATCGATCAACCTGATGAAAAGTAAATCAAGCGTGAACCGGAAGGAGCACCACACAGACTTGTACCAGAGTGAAAACTTTATTATTCGCAGAGGACAGACGTTCCAGATGTGGATCACCCTCTCTCGACCCCTTTGACCCCAGCAGAGACAAACTTCACCTGGACCTAAAAACAGGTCAGTGAAATAATGCTCAATAATGTCATGATGCTTGGCGGTAACTTTAGTCTGCCGGTTCTCTAGAAAGGAATTGCATGCATTGTTTTTTTCAGAATCAGAATCGGGGTTTATTGCCAAGTACATTTATACATTTCTGACTTGGTGTATTGGTGCTAAACAACAAGGAAATAAAGCAGAACTAGCAACTACTTAAATAATACAGTATAAGAAGCTATTACAATATATAAAATAGAATTTAAAAATTTTAAATATAAAATGTTTTGCGTACAGTGGATTACAAAAAAATCAATTTTTGATAATCACTAAACAAGCTAACAGGCCAGGTATGGTTCTCACAGACTCAGACAGACAGCAGGTTATCAAAGCAAAATAAAACAATATAAGAATAGATACATAAATAAGCACTTAGAATATAAAAAATAAGAATAAGAAGAGATTTATACATCAAGGATTTAACTTAACATTCCTACTTAAAAAAGAAAAGAAAAATGAAATCCAACATTTATTCAGGCTTGTCAACTGAATGTAAAAAATCCTTGCTGGAAGTAAGAGATGTACATTTGCAAAAAAACAGTGATGACGTGATTTTCTATGAATTTTCCACATGGATGGCTTCTCATTTAAGGATAAGAAGTGTAAAAATGAATGGATGCAGTTCAGCCTATATGCATTGAAAATACACCAACATGCTTATCTGACCCTGTTTGTGTGTAGATCTCTTCAGGATCATTAGGGTTTCCCTCCCTTTGAGCTGTGACAGGAGAAGAAGGTGATGTCCAAAGAAACAGGAGGAAGTTTAGCGTCTTAGCTCAAGTCTTGTGGTGTTAATTGGGCCTTAAGTGTGTAAAAGGTGTGCATTGTGATATATTTAAAGAAAGAAGGAGAGGGGGAGTAGGTTGGTTTCTATCCCTATGGTAACACTCATGGTTGCTAAGCTCCAGGGAGAGCCCTCGGTCCTGCTCATACAGAGAAAAAAGTCAGCAATTCTGCCACTATGCCAACTGTCAGAGCCTCAGCGGCCACCTGTTTACCCACAATTCATCTGTGCTCCTCTGTCACTGTAAGGAGGAGAAGACACAGACAAATATAGATCCTATAATTACAGCTGTGTGTGATAACCAGTCGAGCTTGAAGACAATAATTACTACGTCTCTTTCACAGAAAGGCTGCGTGGCTGTATCAGAGATGAGCGTTTGACCCGGAGATCAGTGTTTATTAAAGAGGAGACGTGCACAGGCTTATTAATCGTTGCTTTTATGCAAATTGAGCAACTGAAATAATGATTTATTTTTTTGTGTGTGTATGTATTCTAGTTTTACTCCGAGAGAAAGGAAATTACAGTGAAAAACAACGGAACACATTTAAGGTGCTGCAGAGGCTGAAATAAAGGTGTACACTGATAAGGAAAGAAAAGCTGCTCTATAGGTTTCACAGACTGACAATATAAAAAGAAATGAACATGAGGGTAGTATGGAATCTAAAGTTGCTTTAACATTTTCACATTCAGCATGCCAGCCTCACTGACATTAAACAATATATTTAAGATGAGCAGCTGCACATTTAAACAGTTACAGACAAAATACAAACATGTCAAAACAAAACCTGAAAGTCATCTACAACCTGATTCACTGTTCTTCAACACCTTCAGATTACTTTGAAAATGATTTCAAGAGACCAGCTCCTAAAGTCCTAAATCCTCCTGCACCAGAGTCCAACCTGCACGAGCAGCGTCACTCCTGATACATGTACTGATACAATAAGCACTATTATTTTAATCGATATAAAACAATGTGGGAATAAGATAAAAGAACAACTGTTATCATTGATGGACTCTCTCATTGCAATAAAGTAATAAAAGCAGAAAAAGGGGATATGTATACCTCCATTTTGCTCGGTGCAAAATGTAACCCAACAAAAACACTGATCATGCATTATCAGTCACAGCAGAGATAAGCAGCTGCACATCAAGCCATTTCAGTCTTCTGGAAATCATGACACCACATCCCAAATGATGGATATTACATCCCAAAGCAAATACAAGAAAAAAATAAAGCCATTTCTCTGCTCCTATCGTTGAAGCGCATCACAGCCATGCATGCAGAGTCCAAACACTGTACTCTGAGTCTGCTGCACCAACCCCCCACCCCACCCTCACCCCCCACCAACAGCTCGGAGCCCAATCTCAAACAATCTCAAACAATCTCAAACACATCTGTTGTTAAAAGTCAGTGTGACAGCTGAGTGCTCTGACTTTGTGGTTTTTCAAACTCTGAAGCCACACTAACAACTCAAGAAAAAGGCTGCAATTTTCATAACACCTCGCAGATTGAAAGTGTGTGGAAGATTGAACCGCTCACAATTTTGTTGTGCTGAGAGTCTCACCTGCTCATGTTTTTTGTTTTTGTGAGAAGGGGAGAGGATGAAAGCCAACAGATGTCCGTAGAATCATTGGGATTTATCCCCTCAATTGGTCAGGCATGTTTTCAGAACATGTCATGACAATCTGTCTCTTCAAATTACACATTTTCTAAATTGATATTTTGGCTTTGTGTGAGAGTTAAGCTCAGTCAATGTTGGGAAGGAAATGTTTTGACATTTTGGGATTTCACTTAATAATTTTCTGGCCAGAATGGATGAGGAGGACAAAAATAAAGCCTCAATCTATTCATTAGTTGACAGACAGCAGCGATTTCCCGTAGCGTTACATGAAGGGTGAAAACAAATGGAATGCTCTTATATGGTTTCTTTTAAAGGTGCTTGTTCACTACATGTTTCATTTCTTCACATGGAATGATGTCCTGCAAGGCGACTGCTCAGCTCATCAGACTCGTCCAAATAAACCTCTCCTTGTCATATCACAGCATGGTGACTCGAAATTCTTAAGGCTTTTGTAAACACACCAAACAAAGAGTGTGTCACACCCGCAGAGGATTGAGGATCAAAAAGCAGGGAGGGGTGAAGATTTCCACATTCAGCTGAAGGACTCACCATCCCCTCCCAACATTCAGAGGAGAAATCTGGTTTGGCAGAGGTTGTCTGTTTTGTCATGTTAAAGAGTGGATTCAACAGGGGGAGGGACCCAAATGCAGACGAATACATCATATCGCAATTCTTTATTTTACATTAGGAATTCTTCAGACAGGTTCTGGCAGGCAGGAAGAGCGATGGCAGGTAAAAAACCGGAATTCAGTGCACAATGAAAGTAGCATGAATCAGCTGTAGAAAAAGAAAAAGGTCTTTAGTATGGAGTTAGGCCGACGAGTGACGTGGAGATAGGTGAGCAGGGAAGGTTTGGAAACTGCAGGATTGATTCAGAGGGAAAGTATGAGTTTGAAAAGGGAGGATGGAGAACGGAAAAGAAGAAAATGGACGGTGACTCTGATAAAATTTGGGTTTAACAGATCTAGTGTTTACCTCAATATTGATCCTAGATGGTGAATCAATCAATCTTCCTTTAGCAAACCTTTTCCCCATTGAAATATTCATGTCTCCCCGTTCCAAAACTTCTCATTCTTCTCTTTTCTACCAGCTCTGTTTGGTTTTCTATAAGTGAAATCAATATGTTGAGAGAGAAAGAAACATGCAAACAAACAAACAAACAAACACACATTGATTTACTTGATTCTATGTTTGCTATGTTTCTGTGGAAACCCAGAGTATTCACTTACAGTGACTCATCTCTTACTTATGTGTTGTGTTTGCAGTTGTATAAGGGTAATTGTAATCATAACTAATCTTTATAAACTGATTCTGAACATAAAAACGAATACTGTAGCTGTGTCATAACAGTTTTGATGTTGGAAGTGTTCTGGTTTTCCGTTATTAGACCAATCCCTCCACTATTGTATCAGGAGGCGGTTGGTTGTATACAGAAAAAACATTCTGTGTGCAAAGCTTAAAAACCATAGTTAAAACCTGTAAGCCATTATTTAATGCCTGTCCAAGATCTACCCGATTATTTATGTAGAAAAAAAAAACTGCATATGAGGGCAGCTTCAAACTTTGTCACAGATGTCATCTCTCCTCTTAAATCATTTTAGCTTATGATCGCTGATGGGTTTTGAAATTATTTGGGCTGCGAATGCAATAAAGCCTGAGAGTGCTTTCTGAAACGGTGAGTTTCTGGAATAAACTGAGAAATCACTGTTTGGTTGGTTCAGAGAGGTCAGTCTCAGTACACATCCAACTATAAAACTGCTGCCAAATATTTATTTTGTGCAACAGCTACACTGAGATCTGCGCTGTCATGACGTGTGTGTGTGTGTGTGTGTGTGTGTGTGTGTGTGTGTGTGTGTGTGTGTGTGTGTGTGTGTGTGTGTGTGTGTGTGTGTGTGTGTGTGTGTGTGTGTGTGTGTGCTGCCAGTAAGGTCCCTGTATTCTCTTGGTTTGGTTTCTGTTTATACAAACATTCCCCAGGTGTCAGGTGCTGGTGTTTTGCTTCAGTTTGGGCTCGGTCTGAACAATGTGCGTGTGAGTGTGTGATGAGTTTTTCTTCTCACATTCTCAGGCTCTCTGCCATCCGTGGCGAAGGGAACCCACGTCATCGTCACGCTGGTGGAGGACCTGGAGGACGGCCGCTGGGAGGCTGCGGTTGTGAAGCAAGAATACAACAAGATTAAACTGTCAGTGAATTCTCCGTCCACCGCCGTCATCGGCCGATATCAACTCACCGTGGAGACGCACTGTCCCAGTGGTCACGCGGTCTCCGAGCACAACCCCGATAACGACATCTACATGCTGTTCAACCCCTGGTGTGATGGTAAACCAAAAAAAACACATGGATATTTATCGATTTTTTTTTCAACTTTGTGTTTATTGGGCAATCCAGACATAGTTCATTTATCCAAACATAGTTCATTTATCCAGACATAGTTCATTTCTTAAATCATTATTCTTTTTTTTATAATGTTATACAAAACAATAATAGTATGCAGAAGAAGAAAACAAAATGGTTATAATAAAATAGTAGTATAATATATATATATATATATATAAAATAAAATAATAGTTCGCCCAATTTTTTTTGTAATAGAGAAAAATAAAACAACAAAAAACAAGCAACCCACATAAAAAAAAACAGAACACAACAAAAAAGTGACACAAACATCACCAATGACATAACCATGATTTAATTTCAGTTTTTGCAACCAAAATAGTGTTCCCATACATCCCCTATTCAGTATATATTTTAATAAATTCACATTTTCCCTTGCCAACCTGTATCTAAACATCCTCCATCACGTGTTGCCATGGAAACCGCCTGTCTAGGAATTTTGCATTTTGCAGTCTTATTTTAAAAGTTGTCTTTTCCATTATGTAAATTCCTTTGACAACTAATAACTAATATAGATAGTTTCAGACCATACAGGAAATGTTAACATGGAGGAGGCGGAGCTTATGACCCCACACTGCAGCTAGTCAGGAGGGGGAGCTCTAAACATCTCGGCTTCACTCTCTTGCAGCTGTCATCTTGTCCATCTTTTTATGCAGTCTGAGGCGGTGGCTCTTTATTCAGAACTCAAAGACATCAGAGTTATACATCTCACTCTCGAACTGTTCATTTCAGAGAGAGTCATAAAGGAAACAAAGATTGTATTCACAACATGCCCTTCAGACGACTCCTGGAGCATCACTCATGAGGCCTTCATCAATCCTTAAGCTTTTTATCTCAACAAGACGGCAACAGTGTTCAAAACCATTTTATAAATCATGTCCATGTGGGACATAGGTGATGGAATAATAAGGGTTTATATTTTTCTCTCTGCATGTTTTTTACGTTGAATAAAAGACAAATTGCATATATTTGAATAAATAATTAAATTAAAATTGAAAAACTATATCAGAGGAATTAAATACTATATACCACTCCAACCTTGGTCCTTATGTGTCCTCTCTTCAGATGACTCAGTGTTCATGGACTCTGAGGACGAGCGGCAGGAATACGTCCTGAACGACATTGGACGGATGTACTATGGCACGGAGCATCAGATCGGAGTGAGGACGTGGGACTATGGACAGGTGAGAGGGAGGATTTCTGTTTGGTTTAATTTTTTTTTAAAGCTACTGTGAGGAACCTTAATTTAGTTTTGCTCTTGTGGATGAAGTTGTACATCTTGTCTCTTTGCTGACTCTGTCCTGTATTAGTATTCTCTTCATAAACACCAACTGTCTGAGGCCCGAAATGTGAAAGAAAAAAAAAAAAGAGATAGAGATGCACAGTGCGTCACCTCTGATCACAGTAATGGTGAAGTTAATCAACCCATCAATGGAGAAATAAAGATTAAGATTAAGATTTACTTTATTGATCCCACATGGTAAAATTCTGTTTTTACACTCTGTAAGTCATGCAACACACACATAGGTTGAAAAATACACACATGCACAAACAGGAACCTATGGACATGCACTATGGAGAGATGTCAGAGTGACGGAGCGGCCCACAGCAGGCGCTCCTGAGCTGATGGTGGGGAGGGGGTTTGGTGCCTTGCTAAAGGGCACCTCAGCAGTGCTCAGGAAGCAATCTGGCACCTCTCCAGCTACCAGACCAACTTCCATATTTGGTCTGCACTGGGACTTGAATCAGTGACCCAAGTCCCTACAGACTGAGATACTGCCGCCCAATTCAATAGAGTGAGCAGCACAAACAGAACTCGGGAGTCGGCCATAGTTGTTGTAGTCCACCTTGTGCATATTGGCTCTTAAAGGCTTTATATATATATATAATTTTTTTTGATCCAGCAGATGTCGCCCTTGAGCACCGTCATAAAACCAGAACAACTTGCGCTGCATTGTTGTGTTAGCATGCTAATTCTAGCGATCTTTATTATGCGTGTATCTTCACACTGCATGTAAATTTACCTGAAATGAGCGTGATCTAGAAACATAGTTAAGCAGTGAGTACAGTATGTTATTCTTCTTTTCTCTAGTCCCTCAATTAAACAACTTTTATACGCGAGGTGATGAGCCGGCTGGCCGGCCAGCCATCCCGGCGATGTAAACAAAGTGAAGATAGGACTCTGAAAACTCTGAAAACATCACAGACAGTGGGACTCGGGTGTTACACCCATTGTAGACAATCATGACTCACAGAGTTATTTTCAGAGGATATGCTTGATTTATATTACATATTAAGCCTTTAACTGTTACTTTCAGAGGAGCTGCATGTTGCTAGTTTACACGGTGCAGAAGAAGGTGCTGTTCTCATAAGTTTACACTCCGTTATCCGTTATGAAAACTTTGCGTTCTCAGTCACTCAAAATGCTGTTGTTGTGTAAACGAACAGCCAAGAATACCACAAAAGGTTACAGTTTTTGACTGAAATCATTGCAGCATTCACCGTATCACTTACTGTGATACGTGTCACAGTAAGTGTAAACAAAGTCTGTTTCTGCAGCTTCCTGTTCACCTCCTCACTGACGTGTTGGCAGCTGTGTCAGACATTTAAACTGACAGACAGCCGACTCTAAAACTTCTTGCTGACTTTTTTTATTTTGTAGCTTATAAAGACACATCAGTATTAAACTCCTGCTTAGCCTCCTAAAACGTCCTCACAGGAGTTTAGAAATACATTTTGTCAGGTTTTCAGCAAAAAAAAAAAAGGAATTGGTTTTGTAGATGTCTGTGTAATCACTCATTGTTCTGCGTATTGGTGATATAATGTGTTTCCTCTGTTTGGTGTCAGTTTAATGATGGGATTCTCGCTGCATGTCTTTTCATCATGGAACAAAGTGGAACTCCTCCGTCTGGCTGGGGAGACCCGGTTAACGTGGTGCGAGTCATCGCAGCCATGGTGAGATTTCACATTTCCTACTTACTAAATACAGACTGAGCTGTCAAACTGACTGCTTAGTATAAAGATGATTTAACATTAAGTCTTTTACCTTGACAGATTATTCTGTACGTTTATTGCTTTTTTTAAATGTTGTGATGAATTTAAGCCATGTCATTGTGCTGCCAGTATTGACCGGGACACTTTAAAAGAAATGTATTTTAATCTCAATGGCATTTTACTGCAGATGACATTAAGATTAGAAAGAGAAATATGAAGAAAACCAATAAACAACTCTGATTAATGTTGGTCCTGATAACAGTTTCCACACATCCCTGCTGTAATTGAACAAATTCTTGCAGCATTCAGAGATCTAACCGGATGGATTTTCCTCTCGAGAATAAATGTTTCATAGTACATTTACACCATTACAATGCTTAAAGCTCTCTTAGTCTTGTAATTAGGGCCCAACCGATAAAGGATTTTTTAGGGATATCTATATTAGGGAGAGAAAAAAATCTGATACCGATATATCGGATGATATCTTAGATCTATCTTCGATCTGTAGATATAGATATATAGATATATTTAAACATTTATTGAGGTGTTCCTTTTAATGGAGTTTTCAAACACTTGTGGAAAAGATATATGAAGAAGACAAGATGGCCGCTCAACTGCAAAGAAACTGTGCATGTCTGTGTATCACGGCTTGACACTCTGGAGTGTGATAATGCTTGTTGTAAGCCATATAGCGCCCTCTGCTGGTGAAAAACTACGACTGCAATACAAACTCAAATGAAATGCTTTTTGACCGGTGAATAAGTCTAGTAGCAGCCGATACCGATAGCCACTGGAAATGCTAATATCGACCGATATTATCCGCTGGTCGATTAATCGGTCGGGACTCAAAGATGTTTCACTGAAAAGAAAAGAAAAAAAAATCTTTTTGTTTATTCAGGTAAACTCACGTGATGACCAAGGCGTCCTGGAGGGAAACTGGTCTGGTGATTATTCAAAGGGAACCAGTCCAACAGTGTGGAGTGGGAGCGTGGAAATCCTTAATGAATACCATAAAAGCAAGGGAACAGCCGTTAAGTACGGACAGTGCTGGATCTTTGCTGGTGTTGTCACTACAGGTGAGCATGTGTTGACCGGCTGGTACAGGAATGACAGGACGACTGTACACAGATGTTGATCACTGATTCTTAACTGCTCTCTTTCTCTCTCTTTTCAGTTTTACGCTGTTTGGGCATCCCTAGTCGAAGTGTGACCAACTATAGCTCAGCTCACGACACAGATGTCTCCCTGACGACAGATGTTTACCTGGACGAGAACCTGGACCCGTTAGAACACTTAAACACCGACTCCATCTGGTGCGTCATGTCATTATGGTTAAAAGCTTTATATGCGATTTTCCAATCCAGTAAATGTCGCTCTTGAGCACCAGCATAAAACCAAAACAACTCGCGCTGCATTGTTGTGTTAGCATGCTAATGCTAGCAATCTTTATTATGCTCGTATCTTCACACTGCATGTAAATTTACCTGAAATGACCGCGATATAGAAATGCTTACATGACATTCAATCAATCAATCAATCAATTTTTATTTGTATAGCGTCAACTAATAACAAGTGTTATCTCGAGACACTTTACAAAAAGCAGGTAAAAGACCTTACTTATCGCTATATTACAAAGACCCGGCCTATCTATCACGAGCACTTTAGCAAAGCAGCAAAAGTTAAAGTAGTAAGAAAAAATAGGAGGTAAGAAATCTTGGACTGGATCCCCGGCTCATGACGAAACAGTCTTCACAGGCCTAGACTGCGCCAGGCTTGGAAAGTGATAGGGAGAGAGATGGGATAAAATGCAGGAAGAGGGATAGGGAGCAAGGGGGTGGGTAAGCAGTGAGTACAGTATGTTATTCTTCTTTTATCTAGTCCCTCAATTAAACAACTTTTATACGCGAGGGGAGGAGTCAGCCGGCCGTCCCGGTGATGTAAACAAACTGAAGATAGGACTCGGAAAACTCGGAAAACAACACAGACAGTGGGACTCAGGTGTTACACCCATTGTAGACAGTCATGACCTTTAAGCTGTTTTAAAAAATTACCCTGATTAATCTCTTAGTTTATGAAATCTGACCTTCCCGTGTCTCCCCTGCAGGAACTTCCATGTTTGGAACGACTGCTGGATGGCTCGTCCGGACTTACCTGTAGGAAACGGAGGCTGGCAGGCTGTAGACTCCACGCCTCAGGAGACCAGCGAGGGAACCTACCGCTGTGGACCGGCGTCGCTCGCGGCCGTCCGTTACGGACAAGTGTTCCTCAAACACGACGCTCCATTTGTGTTCGCTGAGGTTTGCGGAATATATATTTCATTGTTTACCTGACATCCTCGACCTCCAGAGGGAACACCTGAGCCTCACTAATTGTTGTCTGCTGACAGATGATGTGTGTATGTTGTGATAATAATTAGCCATATGGCGTACCTCAGACGCAGCGTGAAGTTTCCCGTCTGTTCAAAGCTTTACCTTCATTCTCCCGCTCTCTCACTCTCCTCCTCTCCGTGCAGGTGAACAGTGATAAAATCTACTGGCAGAGGAACACAGACGGGACCTTCTCTATGATCTACAGCGAGAAGAAGACGGTCGGCCACTTCATCAGCACCAAGGCTGTCGGCTCTGACGAGCGCATGGATATCACACACCTCTACAAACACCCTGAAGGTAAGAAAATGTGAAAACCTAAATAAGAGGAATCACAATATCTTTCTGAAGCCATGGCCCTATTTGTTTTTGAGGTCTTAGTAACAAATAAGCACAAAAAGAAAAGACTTAATTGCACCAGCCTGCAGCAACAGGGTGTCTGTAATGGGTGGCTCACAATAATTCAGGGTGAAATCCCAATCAAAGTCTGTCTGTTAAAGGTTGTTGGTTTTTTTGTCACTGAAAGGCTAAGATTGTCATTCTAAGTCTCTGACAACAATGCACAAAGGATCCCTACAGAGAGAGAGCTTTTTGTCAAAGAAGAGGATATTTCATCCACAAACAGACGTTACATCTTCTTAAAAGCCACCACTATTGATAAAAACAGTTATTTAAGGATGCAACACACAGGAGTTGCAGGTCTACTGCTGCCTTGAACGTAAAATTGATTCCGTGCTGTTTTCCCAGGCTCAGAGGAGGAACGTATTGCTGTGGAAACAGCCTGCAGCTATGGCTCCAAAGCAGCGGCTTACTCCTCCCCCACAGCACAGGATGTCTCTGTGGAGGTGACCATGGACGGAGAAGGTCCCAGAATGGGACAAGATGCAGAGCTGACCATCATTATGAGAAACAGCAGCTCAGAGGAACGTAAGGTGATTCTGCACAGCCAGGTGGCCGTCATGTACTACACTGGAGTCCACAAGGCCACCGTCAGGAGGGACAAGACGGACGTGGACCTGTTGCCCAACGAAAGTGAGTCGAGAATTCTAGACCAGTGACAGTTTTTGAAATCCAGAGCCCATTAGATTTTTTTTAACTTCAGTTGTTTACAAAGGAAGTTTATTCCTTTGGCAGCGTGATTATTCTCACAATCAACAGTGTTGGGCAAGTTACTTTAAAAAAGTAATTAGTTACAGTTACTAGTTACTTCTCCCAAAAAGTAACTAAAGTAGTTACTGAGTAACAAATTATAAAAGTAATTAGTTACTTTGGAAAGTAACTATTTCGTTACTTTCAAGTAAATTTTTAAATGCTCAAATGTGTCAAAGAATTTGGACCCCACCTCCACCCCTCTTTAACAGAACTTAAAATACATGTGCATGTTCAATTATTTATGATAAATCTGAATATTATAATGAAATGGACACTTAATACAATCAATAATTAACAGAAACAGTGTACACAAATCTAAACTATTTTAATGTTGCTGTGGGACAAAGTGAGACTAGCCTCCAATCAAATGTCATGTATTATTGTAGATATTATAATTACTATGTTTATATAGTGGATCCGTAAAAATGACACAATAGATGTTTTGTCTGCTGTGGTAGACAAATATTCTAATTTCTCAAATGTCTGTTTGAGCTCGACATTCATTTGAGCATGTTGGGCGTCTATATAGTTCGCGAACGTCTTTCTACATGGCAGGCCGACCCCTGCTCTGACCGGTATTTTGGCAACTAGTGCGCTGAATGACTCCGACTCAACCATCGATAATGGCAGCATATCCTCCACAACATACCTGGCTACCAGTTTGTTTAGCTCGGCCTGAGACAAAATGTGTGGTGGTGGTGGGGCCGTAAAATCAAGCTTCGGTTGCTTAGGTTTTGTGGCACTGTCTCCTTCTCCTTCGGGGGTCTTCTTGGCCACTAATTTCGTGGAAGCATGTAGCGTTGAAAGATGTTTCAATTAGTTTGAATTGCTCGACACCGACGTGGAGAGGCTTTTGACTCCAGGGCATAATGTGCATTTCACGATTACACTCGTTCCTTTAATTTCTTGGAAGGAAAAGTAATGGCTATACTTCCACTTAAAGAAGGCTACTGTTGGATTATTTGGGCTCACCATTCCTGTTTCTCGTTGACTTATTTGTGTTGTTGTGTGTCTGACTATGCATGCTTTCGAATTTGTGTAAACAACACCCGCCCAACTCTACCTCTGATTGGCTCACCATGAAATTTTTGCCATGAAAAAAAGTAACGCCGTTAGTAACGTTGTTATTCCCATCACTGACAATCAACAAACTGTATAATAAATAAACAAGCTACAGAAGCTGTTCTTTGTCTAGATGAGATTGAGCACCAGTTAAAGGGATACTTCACCCATTGAAACATGAATCTGTATTGACATTGGGGTCATATATGTAGAAATGTGAAATACATTTTGAAGTTGGTGCCTTCTTGACCCGAGAAAAGGCAGAAAGTGTCTTTTTGGCTCATGTTGATGAAAGACACCAAATCCCAGAATGCACAGCACCGCAGGCCACGCCCACTAAGGTCCTCTAGTTCAGAATCAGAAATACTTTATTAATCCCAGAGGGAAATTCGATCGTTACAGTTTCTCCAAAATATACAGTATAGCAGTAGAAATATAGTAATAACAACATTTACAGACATATTTACTTCAACACATAAGACCATTTCCTAAACTTCAGTGGTCGAAAATATGAGGAACTAGCGTTGTAGTTTCACCCCGCTAACCGCAACAGCTTCCAGTGACGCAAAAATCGTCATTTTGCGTCACTGGAAGCTCCTTTTCAGACTTAGAAATACAAAGATTTCACATCTCAGGGGAAAATGAGAGCGGGATGCACGACTATTCAAAAATACTACCAGGTTTCTAATGATACAAAGATTAATGCAAATGGGTGAAGTATCCCTTTAAAGACTGATCTATGTCCGTAACAACTAGCTTAAAATGCAGATAAAACATCCTGTCCTGACTCATAAGACCCAGTCACAAAGCAAACGTCTGCATTTAATTCTTTATTTCAGGAGCGTGTCCAGAGGAGTGGTCAGGGAACGGGCCCCCTTTGACATATGGTTGGCCCCCCTTAAATAGGTGGCTATTTGAGATGTCAGAGCTGTGACTTAAGATAACTATTTAGGGTCATGGGATGGCACTTTGGTAACCAAGCAGGCCACATTAATATAATTCTCAAAACCAGAGGGTCACATTGTTACAAATTCTGTGACACGCTTATTAAGACAATTATAATAACTTGTAATTTAACAAAACAAAGTAAATCAGAATTTACTATACCAGCGTTTTATATTTCTAAAAACAAATACTTCATTTAATGAGATGAACTCAGAATTTAAGCCAATCAAAGCTATTCTTTCAATGCAATAAACAGATGATTGCATATTTGACTCCCACTTCTAGTTTGTTTTCAAATACATTTCATAATGCATATAAAATGATTTCACAGAAACAATTATACCTACTTATCTCTTACAAAGAACAAAATATACACCAGTTATCAAAGATTATTATATCATTATTTACATGTTGTGATGCATTTGGACTTTGTGTCTGGTGTTGAACTGACAGCTCAGGTTTAAATCCTTCAATGCAGACAATTTATTGATATCTGAAGTTTTTGCTGGCCACAATGAGTGAGGAGGGGGGCCACATGTGCCCCCAAGCAGCCGACTGCCCCACCCCAGATTTAGGTTGTGTTGCAACAGGCGGCTTGTAGCTTTAGTGTCATTTCAATGCAGCACATGTCCCTTTGTTGGTACTTTGTGTAAACTTTTGACATAAGAAGTGTTTTTGAGTCCTCAAAGAATCAAGCTAAGAAGATTTGTATCTAGTTTAAGTTTCTGCACAGGAATCTGTATAATCTGTGTGATACTTTAAATTCAAGATTCAATATTTATTTATTTGTCACTTCAATGATACACTCAGCATACATGGGAGGGAAATGTTGTTCTCCTCAGATCACGCAGATCAGAAACACTTAAATCAACTTGAATAGAGAAAAACATCTGTTTATTTGATGGATAGCCCCTCGAGATGAACCATCTCGTTTTCGAGGGGGCCCAACACAAAAACACAACAGTACAGTGTGATACAGACACAGTCACACAAAACATACACGCATAGAGGCTCTCACACACACACACCCATCCGCCCACAGCACCCACATAAAAACCATCAGAGATAGGCTAATGACATACTATGCAATCAAGAAAACTAAAAGATATGATGTGGTACCATCATGTGGTAGCGGCGGGGGAATAAGAGGGGGCAGCGCTGGGAGGGTATTGAAAATGATGACATGAGGAAAAAACTATTGCTTAATTCATAGTTAAAGTAGATATGATTGTTGGAGGCAATAAGGTTAAATAAATGCTATACTGTATATTTATGTGCACACGCCACCTCTGCATAAGTCAGAGCCACAGTTTGCCCCCCCAGCCAAAAAAAACAGTTTCTGTTTTAGAGGCTCTAAAACTGTGGATATATAAAAAAAAAACCATTATTTTGGTTGATATCAGGGTATTTTCTCCTCCTATATGAACTCGTGCTAAGCTAGCTGGCTGCTTTGTGAAAGATTGGGGAGAGGCTGGAAAAGAAGTGAAAAGACTTCTAACATTTTGTCCCTACATACATTCATTGTGTCTACAGAAAAGATCTTAGAGTGGACCCTGGACTACAAAGACTACAAAGACCAGCTGATCGACCAGGCTGCTCTGATGCTTACTCTGTCAGGCCGCGTCCAAGAGACCCAGCAGGCCCTCGCCACGCAGTTCAGCTTCCGGCTCAGGACCCCAGACCTCACCATAAAGGTAGAGCAAACAGTTCATCAGGAGTTTATTACTTTTAAGGAGATTAAAAAATATGAATCCTGATTTGATATTCTTCTTTTAAAACAGCCACTGGGGAAGGCCATGATCGGAGAAAAGATGGCAGCAGAGATTTCATTCACTAATCCGCTGCCTCAGGTGCTGAAAAACGTTGTTTTCCACATGGAGGGACTCGGCCTTCTCACCGCTCGGAAGATTCATTACGGGTAAGAAGAAAACTTTATATTCTACTCAGACTTATTATGCACCTGTTCTTTATTCCTCTCTGTGTGACGTCCGCTGTCATTTCCTGTCGTGCCCTCAGAAATATCGGCAGTCGGGCGTCCATCATTCTGACAGAGCACTTTGTCCCCTCGCTGCCCGGGGCGAGGAAATTACTGGCATCTCTGGACTGTAAGCAGCTCACACAAGTTCACGGTGTGAGCGACATCACGGTGGAGGAGAAGAGTTAACGACACCAAATACTGACTCTCATTTCCTCCAGATGGGCTCTAAATTTATTTTTTTAAGACTCATAAATATGAGTGTTTAAATGTACTACAGTGCTGAAGGAGAATTCTAAAGCCGCACATGGAAGGGAAATGGTGAAGAAAAATGTACTTATTTCTCTTTAGAGTAAGCAGTATGACATCAAACTCCTTTACATTTGAATGCTGAAGATGTCTTAGAAGAATGAAAATGATGCAGCTTAAATACAATCTTTTTTAAATCTTTTTGTAAATACTGTTTTTTAAATGCTTTTGTATGATTAAAAAACAGAAATAATGAAAGCATATCCTGGAGTCTGTTTGTTTCTGGTCCTTGTTTTGAACAAGAACAAAAAAAATGAGAAGGTGCTGTGAAGATAAGACAGTGTGAAACCATAATCCTACAGAGCACACAGGTTTACGTGTTGTCATGTCTCACTGGCGTTTTGTTCTCTGACTGAATTTTGTGTGGTTTTTCAATCAAATTATTCCTAATTACTACATGTTAATGTTCCTGTTTCTATTTTTAAAAGAATGTTTTTTTAGTCCCTTTTCTAGTCAAAAGCACCAACTCTGGCCAATTTAAATTCGAACAGATTTTTTATGTAGTTCATGTTCACCATATGTTCTAATTTAAAGCAACATTATGGAGGAATTTAGTTTTGTACCCTTTGGCACCCACCAAAGATCCCTGAGTGCTGTCGTAAAACATACATAGTGTATTGACAGGCTTGCAGCGTACTGTTTCTTGAAGATCACACCAACGACTAAAAGTGTTATAAAGAACGGAAGAAGAGGAGGCAGGGGGCAGGAAAACCTGGACAATAAAGAAAGGCAATGATTAGAATGCCAAAAACTGAAGTTTTGAAGGATTCTTACAAAATGTACCTGTGCTGAATACCACAGGAGGTAAATGGACAATAAGTGGAAGAGGGGCCAGCTTTTATACTGTGGAGTGTGTCAGTGGCCTGATTGCAGATGAGCATCAAGCTTGCTTGGTGGCAAGGTGTGTGGATCCACACCCAGCTTCAAGTGAACATGCTCAACATGCGTAGAAAAAAAAAAACACATAAAAAACGCCTACTACAGACTACTATCAAACGCATACAGTGTCACATTCAATTACGTTTTGAACAAAAATAACTGACAGGTAATTCATTTTGATTTTAACAATTTTTGAGAAACAAAAACAATATTTGGTATCTTTGTGTGGTTTGGTCTGATTGTGATAATTTCCCCTCTTATGTTACCTGTTGCTGTGACCTGATGCTTTACATTGTGAGAAACTGAAAAGACTGATCTGATGCCTACTGTGAATTTTTCCTGAATCAGTACAAATATGTTTGTAGAGACGCCATTCTCCCTGTTGAAAGTTATTGTTCAATCCGATAGATTTTTTTTTTAAAACTACTATTTTAGGTGAAAAGTTACATATTTTAGAATAAGAGGACATTTTACATAAGCCTTTTTCAATCATTAGGGACAAATGAACGACTGTTCCTTGAAGCGTTTGAGTAGAAATACATTTACCTTCCATGATGATTGTTTCTAACTGTGACTTATTCTTATAGACATCAGCCTGTAGTCCAATTATAATTTTGGCATTATGAGGGTTATAATGCTGGTTATAAAATAAAAGAGAACCATCAAGGTTCAGGAAACACGTCATCTGACAACAAAACAAAGAGCCTGCTGGTGACTTATGGGCAATGTGCAGTATTCCGTCAAAGAATCTCAAGCTGCATTCATGAAGGTGAATCCATCAGAGCTCATCTCAGATGTTTTTTTTCTGCTCTGCAGTTTATGAACACAGGAACAGAGAAATCTATTTAGAGATTAATCAGCAGTTTCAGCATATCAAAGGTGCAAAAACAACATTACAGAAATATAATAATAATAATAATAATAATAATAATAATAATAATAATAACTTTACTTATATAGCACCTTTTAAAAACACAGGTTTACAAAGTGCTTTGACAAACAAGAACAAAGCAAAATAAACCAAACACAGAAGAACATTAACAACAGCAAGAACATAACAAATGCAAAATACTAAAAATAATGAAATACAATTCAACAGAAAAGAACCCATAGTGCACGATACCAACAGACATATATAACCCGACCATCACAAGAACCATCACAAGAACCCAACAACACGAGCTGAGACCAGAAGATTTAAAAATATGTAAGAAACTAAAAGAGCTGAAAAAAATCAAAAGGTAACAGCAATAAGAAGGTAAGAGCAGTAAAAGAAATAGAAACAAGTGGTTAAAGGATCAAAAACCCCAAAACTATAATATTAATAAAAATAAAAAGTAAATATAAATATGAAACATAAATAGACAAAGTAAGTAAGATAAGAAATTACCAAGTTAAAACATAAGATGAGTTAAGATATGAGCATAAATACGAGATAAGGGCATAAATAAAGAGCATAAATAAAAGTACAGTAAGAAGTAAGAACAGTAAAAAGTAAAAGAAGATAAAAATAGTAAAACCATTAAGAAAAGACATTAAGAAGACGACATCACATAAAAGCAAGTCTGTAAAAGTATGTTTTAAGAAGAGAACATGTTCGTACTAACAAGGAGAAAAAACACTCACAAACCAGTCTACACCAGCAAAAACCTTATTAACAAATTAGTCGGATGCGTTTCGCCTTGTGGCCTTCATCAGGAACATCGATGCGTGTTATGCCCCATACAGTGTCATGTTTAAGGACATCTGTCTTGTGTGTGTTACAGTACACAGTAAAATAGTAGACCTAGTCCATGAGCCAGTGAGTTGGCTGCAGCACTTTCGATAGCTCAGTA